GGGCCCACCGGGACCGTGCCAGCTGCTGGGGGTGGCCAGGTACCCAGGTGGCGTCTCCAGAGGGCCCGTGAAAACTTCCTAATTTCTTTTCAAGTCAGAATTTTGAAAGCTAACTTTTGGGTCGCAGAAAACGTTTTAATGGATGTACTGGGTTGAACAGTGTCCCCCTAAAACTCACGTCCACTGGGGCCCCCAGGCTGTGCTGTTACTTGGAAACAGGGCCTTTTGCAGAAGTAATTCGCTACGATGAGGTCATGGGGGACGAGGGTTGGGCCCTGCTCCAATGACTGGTGTCCTTCTAAGAAGGCCCAGCAGAGACTCGGAGGCAGAGACCGAGGGGCACGGCCACCGCCCAGGAGCGCCTGGAGCCCCAGAAGCTCGAAGGGCGCGGCCCTGCCCACGTCTTGATTTCCGACTTCTGGTCTCCAGAGCCGGGAGGGAATGAATTTCTGGTCTCTGTGTCGTGTTATGTCAGCCCCTGGGAATGGAATGCAAAGTGGATTAATTTGTCTTCGTTGCAATGCACTTGTAAATATAAATTATTAGCAGCGTTAGCATTTGATGGGAGAAGGAACCCTTGAGAGCAAAGGCCCCAAAGGCCCACGAGTCTTAATTCAAGGCGACCGGCCCCGTGCTTCTTCTAGGAACTCAGCTCCCGGCCTGGGGGCCGTGGGGGGGCCCACGCCGGGGGCTTCCTGAGCGAAAGGACCCCGATATCCGGGCGGGGTTGAGGCTGGGGGGAGTCGGAGGCCGGAACGGGAGGCCCGGTGGCGTTTTCCATCCCCGTTTGGGAGACAGCCGCCCGCCTTCCACCTGTGCGGGTCTGAACGGATGTCCTCCCGCCTCCTGACCGGCTTGGGGTCCCCATCCCTGTAGGTCCTCCTCGCGGTCAGCTCAGCGCTGCGCTGGCCCTGTGTGGAGACCCAGGAGGCCGTCCCCTGCGTCTCCCACCGAGATGGCCTCGTGTGCGTCCTGGAACGTGCCAGCAGGGGGGCAAAGTGCCGTCCGGCCGCCCGCGGCCGCTCGGAGCGGTTCCGGGCTGGGCCACCT